GTAGGATTTAGCTAGCTTTTCCATGAAGGGTGTTTCCATCTCTGCTCCTTTAAAGACTTATTCATTGGCTTTTACAAGGGTTAAAACATGAAGTTAATACTGAAGAATGCTGCAGTACTTTGTGTCTGGACACAATCAGGAATCCAGTAACTGCCTAAAATGGAATAACTTCTCCTGTACACACTTTATGGAATAGCTTCCCCCATACAAACCTTACGGTGGTGATCCTAAATAATTGGTTTAATGGTGGAAACATGAAGATATGTGTCAGTTTATAAGTTGAGATCCTGGATTAATGCATGGATCAGAAGTGACCTGTGATCATAACTAGTAGGTCCTGCTCTCCCACCAGCTTAGCAATACTTGAAGGCTATTACAATACTACAGTCACCATTTTCTCTTCCATTAAACCAGTAAATCTATTACTGAATGAAGGTGCACTGTGTACTGTCTGCCTCCTTGTGCTGTCACACCTCATGTTCCTTGGGTTAATAGGCATCTTCTGGAGAACTTCTTTGGGGAAAATTTTACATATGCTGGCAATAGATGGCATAGATGCTTCAGGGACTAAACATGGATGACTGCTTGATGAATTTCATATAAAAAGAAAGTATAGCACACCTAAATACAGAAAGGACAGCCCTAGCTGATGGGTTCAGTATGATGGATTGAGCCTGTCTATTAGGTGTCAAGAACTCGACCAGAGAACTCTGATCTTCAGGGAAGAAAATACCCAGTTCTGTAATATTGAGCTTGGGTCTTTCTCTAGTTTGAAGAACACAGATAGGGCTGCAGCCATTGCTTGTGGCTGGAGGGCCCAGCTGCAGTGAGAAAAGGAAACTGGAAACAGGGAACAAAGCTGCAACTTGCTTACTGAAATGGTGAGTTCTTGTATTAGTGGCTGTTTGCACAACACCGTGTTAAAGTGATCTTTATGGAACAGAAACAAGCCACTGTTCCAAGCTGCTGAGCTGAGAGGCTGCTGAGTCAGCTGAAAATAATAATGTCATGTTCTGCTCTCGGGAGGACCCATAGCTCCTGTGGGGTTGTCCAGCCAAATGGTGCTTCGAAGTCTCAGACAAGTTACAGATAATTGACCTAGCATGCATTTTCCAGCGTGACTTTATAGATGTTATCAGCAAAATGTCTTAGTTGTGTCTTGGTTACACAGTTTTTAATTTTATTTATGCATTGTGTAAGTGGAGAGACTAATCAAGGGAAGATGCATCTCTGTTAGCAACTGCATGTACCTGTATCTACCTGCAGTTCCACTGGCATAAACTGAGCATCATGTTTTCACCAATTCCAAGAGGAATTCTGTCTGTTTATCCAGGCTTGACATGGCTGTGTGGGGGAAAAGGAAATGGTTTTTGAGCTGCTGTTGGAAACAATGCTATTGCTAAATATAAGCAAGTAAAAACACAGTTGAAATGGGTTGTGCTGTAATTTTGTTTCCTGTCTTACTAATCCTATTTATTTTCCTTTTTTTTTTCCCTGCAGAACAATTCAATTAAAACATCGAAATACAACTTCTTCACTTTCCTGCCTCTCAACCTGTTTGAACAGTTTCAGCGAATAGCCAATGCTTACTTTCTTTTCTTGCTGATTTTGCAGGTATGGATTCACTGTTATCAAGTCTGTTGCAAGGTCTGTTATCAAAACCGGTCTATGTATTGATAGTCGTAATAAAGGGCAAGCTATATCCCTGTCATGAATTGGTGTCTTAGTAAAACCTTAAAGTAGACAGAAAGTGGGGCAGAAAAAAAGCAATTTCTTCTTTTACCTTTGAATACGAGAGTTTGAACAAAGTGAAGAAAAAAGCATAATTAAAGTTTTCAATGAATTGTTTTTCATGCCTTGTCCTACTACCTCTTTTTGTCTACATCTAAGTGCTCCTGGCTGTCCTTGGATTTGCATTACTTATTCCTCCTGTAGTACAAAAGGAAGTTGTCACATATCCATATGTTTAAAGGCGAAATCCATTGGCAGTCTCGAAGGAAACAGCAAGAAGAACGAATTTGTAACCTGTGCTGTTTCCCTGGGAAGGAAGGAGTTAAAATCAGGAAGGCTCAAGGTTGGAGCTAGTTTGCATAAAGCTGAATATTGCTGCTCCCTGCTCAGCAGGGTGAGGAAGGTGTCTAATATGGAGTGTGTTAGACACCGGCAACACCATTGAACCCTGCGGCTCATAATGGCATTGAGCTGCACTTCGCCCATCGCTGTTGGTAATACTACTTTGTCTGAAAGCTGAATACACCGGAGAAATCAGTATCAGGATTTCTGCCCCTTTGCACTTTGCTAGAATATGGATAAATGCAGCGTACTCTGTTGTTGCTGAGTCATACCGGAATGCACGTTATCAAAAAAAGGGTATAATTCAATCATGTTTCAAGTATACTATCTTAAATTTGACTATTACAGTGCACATGAGTTTGAAAAATTACCTTTTTCAAATGCTCTTTTTCAGTTTCAGCTCAAAACAGCATAGGCAAAATTTTGTTAAGCCTGTATCAAACTACGTATGATCTTCTTTGCCTATTTACAGGGAACACATTTGGGAAATTTCAGCCCACGTATATTTTTCAAGAAACTAGTGAAAGTGCCTTTTCAGCTAAGCTGACAGCACTGTTCCTGTGTTGTTGTACTGCACTCTAGCTGTTCGTCTATCAAATTAATAGTATTTCAAACTATTTGCCTTAAATTATTCCGCTGTGTCTTTTGCCGAACCATCTAGGAGAGACTGTGCATAAAAGCATAGAGCCTTTTCTGCTACCTGGATGAAGTTAGGCTAAAGAGGACAGCCATTAGTCTTTTGCATTTACATATTCCTCCTTTTCATTTTTTTCCCTCTTCTGCTCACTCACTCCATCCCTGTAGCACTGGAAGTAGCCCTGCATCCGGAGTGGATGTGATGGGTGGGCTGTGGGGACTCTGCCTCCCCACTCCCTTGGCACAAGTCAGTAGGATATGCATATTCCCAACTAGGTGAGAAGGTAGCAGTTACATGTCCCTGCAGCCTCCGCAGCTGAGCAGAGATGTGCTTTGCCTCTCAACATCATTCCTCCCAGTTGGATTTGGTGGTGCCTGTAGGATACGGGTTGTGAGAGTGCAGCAGGAGGAGCCATCTCAAAGAGCAGCTCTCCATCCTTCAGCAGCTGCTTTAGCAGCATCAGTGTCAACTTCACAAGGCACATGGAGTTGGCACCGCCCAAATCCAATCTGATGGACACAGTGATGCTGGTGTCACATTGCTTCCATCACTAGTGCTGTTCTTCTAGAGGAAGCGAGGAACTCTGCTGGGGTAAGACATCCACATCTGCATCACCCAAGGCATGACAGAGCACCTTCAACTATTGAGTCCTCTCACTGTTAAAGATGTGGGAAACAAAACTGTCTCTGTTGAACTTGGAAGAGCACGGTCAGCCCTGGTAACACCTGTGTGCTGTCCATTGATGCCACGTTTACTTCAGGAAAACGTGAAGAGTTCATAAAATAAAAAAAGAAGCTTTGAAGGCTTGGAACAGCAGACCTTGCTCAGATAGCTCTGGGTCTCTTACAGCAGGCTTGCCCATGTCAGTGCCTCCAGAGAAACGCACTGGAGACTGCAATCCTGATGTTACAAAAGCAACAAGAAAGAGCAATCCACTGCGCCTCCTGACAGCTCCATGTTTATAATCTAAATTACAGCTTGGTTTGCAGGCAAAGCATGGGTTCTCTGGTTCTCTCACTTTTGTGGGGCCACATATAAGTAATAGAGCTGCATTTCTGTCTTTACTCTGTATCCAGGTGTCATAGAAAAACGTCATCCACAGAAAACAGTGTTTTGTTTCCATCTCTTTGCTGAACTGGCAGCAAAATTCTCAACTCAGATATTTTCTTCCTACAGCTGATTCCTCAGATTTCCTCGCTGGCCTGGTTTACAACGGTGGTGCCCCTAGTGCTGGTGCTGGCTGTATCGGGAGTCAAGGATGCCATCGATGATTTTGTAAGATCTGTATTGCTGACCTGTACTTCGGAGTTTGCCCGTGGTTCTTCAGCACAATGACTAAAGCAAACCACTTAAAATAAACATAGTCACTGGCAGGCAGTTGGACAACTGGTCTGTGGTCAAGATGGGGTCTGTGATTAGATCCCGAAATCTATAGTTCATTACCTCAAAAGGAGCTAGAATTTCCAAACTGCTGAGCAGCCCAGCAGCTCCATTGACTTTCTCTGAAACTGTTCAGCGTGTCTGAAAATGTGGTCATCGATAGATATGTCTGGACGCATGCACAGAAGTCTATTCTTAGGCTTCCACTTTGGAGAACTCATTCTCTGCCGTCTAGCTGCAATGTAAATGGAAAAAACATTTGGTAGGAAGTAAGCATACAACCTGTGTGATTTTTCAAACTAGCCCAGCTTTGACTGAAGTGTCCTCTCACCAAAGCTAGCGGTCAAAGTTTCATTGACTTCACAGGGTGATGTTAGAGCTGAGTTTAGCATCTGATTTTCTCTTACTATGAAAATAATTTTGACGCTCTACGGAGACTCGGTACAGCTTTGCAAGCAGGCAGGTGAGAGGTGGCGAGGCGCTTTCCCAGGGAGCAATGCCAGAACATCTGTGGTCTCTTTCCATATCCAAGCAGAGGAATGGATTTCTCTGGTGTTTCTCAATCTGTGACGGGCAGGACCAATGCCAGTTGAGTCAGAACTGTGCTAAGTGACGTCTAAGGCTCTACCCTCCTTCTTCCTTTCAAGAGCAAGCACTGTGTTGCCTGTTGCTCTTTGCAGTCCAGTTATGCCCTAAGTTACTGGTGTAAACATGGGTTTAACTATGACTCAGTTGTGACTCTAATTTACCTGACCCTTTCAGCCAGCTGGGTGAAAACCTAAAATGTTAACGAACTGCCTACAGCGTGTGTGTGATTGCTTTCCTGGGAATGACTTTTAACATACTGATTAAATTTTCAGAATCGACACAAAAGCGACAAACACGTCAACAACCGCCCAGTCCAGGTCCTGATCAATGGCATGTAAGTCCTTTTTCTTTTGCTGTAATTTTGACTGGGAAGAGCATTTTTTTAATATTTTGTTGTTCTTGTTGTTATTCCCAAGGATCACTAAACAATTTAAAATTGTATTATCTTCCATACCATCAGTTCAGCGTGCCTTTCTGGACTAAATGTCTGATTAACGAACCCAAGACACAGCACCACAATCAGTGCAGACATTATGGCTGTGACCTGGCACTGACAAAACTCTCTCTGTTCCTGGATATTTAAAGAAGTGATACTTTAAGTGTATTGTGTTATTTTACTCCTTACCCTAGAATGGTAAGCAAGGCTATCTTCCCATATCCAGTTATGTTCATAGCATTTATTTCTGCATTAAGCAAAACTAGGCATGATCGACAAGTAATTTTAAATTAAGAAGCAGGAATAGCTTCTTCATACATGTCGTAATACTTTGCATGTGTGTAGCACTTCTGACTCAAAACATTCCAGCTGTGCCCTTTGGACATTGTACTGCTAGCACCGTTCTTTCCTGCAGAAAAAAGCAGAGGCGGTGGCTTTTGTGGCAGACAGATGTGTTGTTTGCTTGTGGCTCCATGGAGTCCAACTGTGTGTAGGACACAGCTGTAGACAGCTGTGAAGTCTTGGCTGACTTTTTTTGCCATACTATAGATAGCAGCATGTTGTGTAAACTGCAACAGATGATCAAACAGTTACAAATATAACTAGAAACTGAAGAATAGGAACATACTTTTTGTGCTTTCTGCTAAGTAAACCAGTTTCTTAGTTTACTGTGTATTAGTTACTGTGTCTAGGAAACATACATTGAACCATAAATTTTCTAATATTTTGCCTTTGTTCAAAAACTAGAAACCATAGTTTCTGCCCAACTCCGACCATCACTGAAAAAGCAAGGCTGAGCTGAACTCAAGCTTCAATATCCAGTCCTGTTTTGATATAGCTCTTGATATTTCTCACCTCTAGATTTTGCATATACAGCTACTACAACTTGGTTATGTTGGCATTTGCAGTTTAGCTGGCTGTCTGCATGCACAGCTTGCTGTCTTGTGAAGGCCACTGCAGACACGGGTTTAGCCAGGCACATGCACAGCCAAAGCACCGACATCGACCTTCCTGACAACCAGGCCCACACACAGCCAGATCTGTTGCTCTGGCTCTTAATACCACTTAGAAAAACTAACACAACTGGCAATTTTCCCACGTGTTTGGGAAGTCTGTTACTCCAAGTAGAGAGTTTTTTTCTGAGACAATGTGGCCTTTTAGGAGAGGGAAGGGAGTAGTCAGTCCAGAGAGAAGGACCGTGTACATGGACCATGCTGCTATTGTGGGTCTTGGTGTCAACCCTGCTTGGGTCACCCCAACCACTGTTACTGCTTTTTTTTTGTGTTGTGGTGGTGCCTTAGCTCAGTATGGATCAGGCCACATCATGGCAGACCCTATTTTTTTTTATCAGCATCCCAAATCCTGCTGGCACTTACAGTCTGGCTTCAGGAGCAGAGCGGAGCATCCTACTTTCCTGAGCGGTCTTTGCTTTATGTGCCTACTTACTAGGAGTTTTCTTTCAGGTTAAAGGATGAAAAATGGATGAATGTCCAAGTGGGGGATATAATAAAACTAGAAAACAACAACTTTGTGACGGTGAGTACAGTTTCTCTCCATCCTGCTCACAGTTAGTCTCCGTAATTACTCTTACCACTCACAAGAAAATCAGTCAGTAGTGATGATAACTGCCTCAGAGACCTGCAGTGTGCAGAAACCAGAAGCAGCGTTGCGGTGCCATACCCTCTGACCCTGTGAACTCATGCCAAGTCTGTCTGTCTGTGTTCAGGCTGACCTACTGTTACTGTCGAGCAGTGAGCCGCACAGCCTGACATACATCGAGACAGCTGAACTGGACGGGTAAGCGAGCCTGGCCCTTGGGTGCAACCACTGCTGCCAGGGCCAGGTCAAATCTCTGGTGCTCCTGGGTGCTGCAATAGCTTTGGTAGCAAGAGTTTCTTAACACGTAGAATAAACTTTGGGTAAGCATCTTCTGGGGGGTACTTTCGCATCTTTCAGTGCAAATGTCATGTGCAGAGCAGACTATAATTTTTATTTTCAGCGATAGTTCTTCTAACACTGAGAGTTAGTTAGAAACACATTCCTGTAATATCATGGGGCACTGGCAAAAGCTTTCTGTTTCTTGTATCTACTTTAGCCTTTTCTCTTAGCCTGATTATCTGGGTGTGATACTCACAATGGATCACTCTAGTACTCTCCTTTGGACTGCTGTACCATTGCATGGACACTGCAAAGGCTTCCAAACATTGCTCACTCCGGGGCACAACCGGTCACAAGTCAGAGGGCTCCAACTAATTTGTATTAATTGGAATAAACTCGATCTGACCTCATCTTTATGACCAAATTTGAATTAATTTTTCTGCATTGCCTGGAGCTAGCATCAGCTTGAAAGACTAAGCAAGACCAGAGAGATCAAGAAATCATGTCATGCCCAATACTCTGCAGACAGCCCTGTGGACTTTCTGGGTCTGATTTCTGCTAAAAATGATCTTGTAGTTCCCGTACACGCAAGTGTGAGGAGGCCCTGAACAAATACATGTTTCTTTGACATTGCAATTCAAACTCCCCAGCTAGCTAGTTGCAGGACTTGGGTACTCTTCAGGACCAGAATAACTGTTGAAGAAGATCTGGAGCTCTGCTATATGCCCAGCTAACTCAGGGTTCAGTGTGGTCTGAGTGGCAGGATAGACAGCAAGCTGCTCAAGGGAGCTGAGATGCCTGGTCTTGCACTTTGTACTGGAAATCAGGAGACAGAGCCACCTCGCTCTCTTTGGTACCATGTCCAGAATTCCTCTGGATTGCCTATCTTTACAACTGAGAGACAGCTACACCCTTTGGCCAGGTGAAAAAGGCTGATGATGGCATGGTCCATTAGACATCTAAGGAAGAAGACTGTCCTCGAGAACAGAAGTGACTTTCAGGGAGAGCTTTCAGTTCACACAGGACTTTCAGTTCATGTTTTTCTCTCATGTTATCCATTGCAGTGAAACAAACCTGAAGGTGAAGCAGGCGCTGACAGTCACTGCAGAGCTTGGAGAAGACCTTCAGAAACTGACAGAGTTCAATGGTGAGTCTACATGGAAAACTCACTTTCCAGAGGCTTTGCCCAAACACCAGAGTCCAGAGAGTGCCTGGGAATCTTCCTTCCAGGCTGTCCCCAGGAATCCTCTGGATGCAGCAGCAGGAAAACAGAAGGGCACATTGCAGTCTCTACAACAAATACAAACAGCGTATGTAGAGAAAGGGATCCTGCTTCACTTGCAGGTCTTGGTGCCGTGCATGGCTGTAACCTGGAACTGCATTGGTGGGAATTCTCTTTCTGGCTGCACGCTTTTCTTTAGCATCTGTCCGTACATGTTGAGACTACCCACCTCGAACTTCAATACAAGAGTTTGTGCAATTGCACAGTGGAAACAGTTTTCCCAAATCTGCGTGCTTAGTTCTGATCCCAAAATATTTTCACACTGCACTTTTACATTGGTGCAGCAATGCTGATGCATCAATTACGTTTAACGTCTGAGCAGTAGCACTTTCCTGACACCGTGCAGACCTCAGGACTAACTGCACACATGGGACAGGTGACTACATCCCAGCTGCACACATGGGACAGGTGACTACTTCCCAGCCTGAAGCCTCACCCTGCCAGCACTTCTCTCCTGTCTCGATGCCACGATAAAGACTGCATTTTAAGATATTTAAAGACAAGCAGTGCAGATGTAGTTAACAGGCAACGTGTCCTTTCTTGGCACTGTTTTGTGTATCAAATATGGAATGGAATGAAATGGAATGGAATGGAATGGAATGGAATGGAATGGAATGGAATGGAATGGAATGGAATGGAATAAACTAGTTCAGTTGGAAAAGACCTATGACAATCATCTATTCCAACTGCCTGATCACGTCAGGGCTGACCAAAAGTTAAAGCATGTTATTAAGGTCATTGTCCAAATACCTATTAAACACTGATGTCACGGGGCACTGACCACCTCTCCAGGAAGCCTGTTCCAGAGTTTGACCACCCTCTCGGTGGTCAAATTTCCAGTCTAAACCTCCCCTGATGTATCTTTGAATCATTCCCATGCATCCTGTCATAGGATATCAGGGAATATACAATAGCACATACACAGAAAAGGAGCTAGACCTGTCAAAACCAGAATACTCCATGCTCACACATCATCTGTCTGCAGAGAGAGGATGGGGGAACAGACCAAGTGGTGTTAGTTACACTCCACGGTGCCCTGCTGGCTTACGTACAAGGACAGGATTATGGGAAGAGTCAGTATGGAAAGGGGTGGGGTGAGTGCTCTGTCCTTGGAACGTCTCAAAGACTACAGGCTCTCAGGAAATATTTTCAGATAAAGAGCAAAAATGATTAAAAAAAAAATACTCTCAGAAATAACTAGATGATTCCAGGACAAACGATGGGGACGCAGCAGAGAGTTAGCATAGTTGGAACTGTCTCTTGTAGAGTCGTCCAAAAGCTTCTCTTTTGCTTTCTACGTGGAAGTTTTATGAAATAATGTGTGGTCTCAACTGAGTATCAGATCAGTACGTCATGATTTCTCTGAGGTGATGGCTGAGGTTCTGAGTGTTTTAGGTCTTGAGAAACATTTTTTTACAGGTTCAGTTAAATGCTGTATGTTAATAGTCAGTGACATGTCTTAATTATTTTCCTGAAGATACTGCAGTGTGTATCAATTTATAAGCAAAATCTTCATCTTAAATAACTTTTCAAGAATTTTCTGTGTAATGCTTACCTAAGGATACTGCAGTCTTCAAATGGCATAATTAAAAAAAAGTTTTAAAATATTTTAGAAATTTAAAACTTTTTAAATCAAATATTTATTTGTCCTTTAAATCTCTGTTTTAGTTACATTGTAAGAAAAAGTGGCCTCTTCGCGATACTTAAAATGAATAAAATGTTTCCCAGGATGATTTATATTTGGCAGAGTACTGGGAAGAGTGCCTAGAATGAGACCCAACCTTGCATTTCCCTAGTAAACTTCTATAGAAGTATTTAAATATTTATGTAACTCTTTATCTAATTACTTCTTAAGACAGGAAGAGAGGAAAGGGTTGAGCAGCTAATAAAGGCACTCATTGGAATGCTTAATGTGAGTTAGGATGTTTGTTGACATCCTCATGGTTCAGATAAGGAACACACTTGCAAAACACTGCACTTCTTTATTTGATTTGGGGAACTGGGAGACAAGAAAGGAAACAATACTTTTTTTGGTTACCTACTACTTATCACATGTCAACTTGGCAGTATTTAACTCTTTCTGGTGAAATACGTTCAGGTATTGTCTTGCTGCTAATGAGAGGAGGAGACAGGAGGCATGGTGCCTTGCTGAGCTATCTTCAGCTGCAGAGTTACAGGGGTTAGGGCAAGTATATTGAGTGAATCTCTAGAGCTTCTCACTTTTCTGTGATTGGTCTAATTTGGATGAATCTATTTTGATCTCAAAATCAACACACCAGTAACCCAGACTCACCTGCTTACTGGAAAGCAGACATGGATGTTGACATGCAAGGTGCTCACATGAGTGTTGTCCCACAGCGGGCATGAGGAGAGGCACAGTCTTCCTGGTGGGTTTTGTTCTCCAGGGCCTCATTGTGCTGTATTTCAGGTTTCACTGCAAAGCTTCTGTTTTCATTGTGTTTTTCAAGGGGTTGCAAGGGCTGCAGTGAAGTGAGTATGGTTAATGTAGTCTCTTAGACATTATGGAGTACAGCACTGATTGTTCTTGAATTAACTAAAAGATAAAACAGAATTTCAACATAGTTGTTAGCATGAGCTCTGGTGTCACATATGTCACAGAATTTCCTAATCACTTCGTCTTTCAAATCTGATAATTTATCTGCCCCAGAGTAGAGCTACTTTTCTATGAAGAGGACATCCATTCTTGATTTTAAATCTTGCAGTAGTGGAGACTGTTTTGAATCTTTAGATGTCAGGTGCAAATGTTGATTTAAATAATCATTTTTATACTGAAATATCTGTGTTTACAGTTTTGAGTGAACACGTTTTCTTACAAGAAACAAATATAAAGTGTGGAAATAGAAAGAGGTTCTCTAATCAATTACAGTGTCAGCTGCATGGCCAAAGAAGGTAGCAGTATCTTTTTTAATGTGCCACTGGGACTTAAGTTATAAAACAGATTAAATTAAAAAACAGTGAACAAAGACACCTCACTTAATTACTCTTTTGCAGCCTTCAGGTTATGATTTTTCTTGCTTGGGCTCCTGTGGTTTTAAAGAAAATGGAATAGGAATTATGTGTGGTCAGCACTTTTAGCTAAAGTTATCCAGTGACATCCTACCACTATGAACTTGCTATGAAAGGATTAAAAGTATGTTGCTAGTTCAACATTTCTTCTCATCCACATAAAAGCTTTTGAAACTTTGTTTTGTACTCTACCGGTAAAATCTACCATGTTCAAAGAACAGGATAAATCCAAGGTCATTGTTATTCATTGGATTATGACATGAATATGGGTAAGGAGCAATTTCCCAAAACATCAGTAAATATAGGATGCAGGATGGTGACAACAGAGCCAGGAGTGGACTGCAGCTATGATGTGAAATATTCCATGCCTGGGGAACAGCTGAGAATGCAGTATGGACTGACATCTTTCTGGGCGAAGACTTCCATTTTTGTTTTCATCTTCCTTTTGCAGGTGAAGTCAAATGTGAGGCACCAAATAACAAACTGGATAGGTTCACAGGAACTCTTACTCTTCGAGGAGAGAAGTATGCCCTGGACAATGAGAAGATGTTGCTGAGGGGCTGTACTATTAGGAACACAGAATGGTGCTTTGGTCTCGTTATTTATGCCGGTAGGTAGAAAAATTGACATGTGAATTGCAGATCACAGCACCACTAGCAGTACATCACACCCAATACGTACCAAAGAACCAAGTATTTTCCTCTTTGCAAAATATGTTTCTACCAGGTACAAGAACAAAAGCAAAACAATACATGAGATCCTTTGGCTTAACTCTAGGCCAGAAATTGCTCATATTACAGGGGATTTTAATCTGAGATTTTTTTTTATAGTGGTCTATAAGAGAAAACTGGATTGCAAATGCTACATTACAACATCTAATTCCATCTTGATTAAGTCTATTAGTAAGCAGACATAGTCTTTTGTTTCAGAAATGCATGCAGCAAAGTACATGAGAGTACATAAGAACAAAATCTGTTTAAGAGTTAAAGCTGAATTAAATCTGCCTTTACTGGCCCACAGTGGGTCAACTGGAGTCCTCATCTCACCAGGCTTGTTCAGAATTTTTCTCTCTTAAGTGTATTTCATTAAAATTCTGCATCATTTCTATGTGATTTTAATCCATATTGGGATACTAAAGTCATCAATAATATTATTGTAGACAATTAGATCTATGATAGACCTTATGTTGTTTCCATACTTCTGTAGACATGTGAGATGATGTATAATATGTCACCAATAACACAGCGGTATCAGGTATTCTGTGAAAAGTAACTGAACCTGAAAGGGAGGATTGACTGTTGAAAGAAGAGAGCAGGGTCAAAATCCAGAATTAATGGCTTTATGTGACTCTCTCTGTATAATCTAAGGCAAGTGACTTAACCTTTTTCTGCCTGAGTTTCCCACCAGCTCTGTAAACTATATGTGTCTGCCTTCAAGAAAGCTGTGATGGATATTTTTGCTGTAAAGCACAGTAGGACCTCAAAGGGAGTGAGCTTTAGAACAGCTAAACTTCATTACTAAAATTCACGAGTGTGTTTCATCTCCAGGGCCAGACACCAAACTAATGCAGAACAGTGGAAAAACAACCTTTAAACGGACAAGCATTGATCGACTCATGAATGTCCTTGTGTTGGTGGTAAGTCTGATTAATGTGTCTTCTTTCTTCAGATGTATTAATCATTTCCAGATGCTCCACCTGTTTATCCACACAGATGAGGGAATATCAGAAGTGACTAACGATAAAAAGAAAAATTATGTAATAATTTATTAGCAGCCTGAGTTCTGCAGCGCCTCTGCCAGCCCATCTCGCAAAGCAAGGCCATTACACTGACAGCATTAAGGACCTTTCTTCAGAGCTTTTCATTTGCTCTGCTCTCCCTTGCTCTCACTTTTTTGTGAGAATCACTTTGAAGCCCGCAAATGCATTTTTTTTCCTAGTAATTTTGTCATTTTCTATTTAAATAAACATTTGCAGTTCTCTCTCTTCCTCCTGATTTCTTGCCATCTCTGTTGATATCTGCATAGGACTTGGTAATTGAATTTGTTAATTTACATGAGCCAGCTTCTCACTTAACACATTAGGGTAAAATATTAGACATGGTCTCATTAACACTCAGATACTGGTGTTTTTAGCAGCTGGAAAATTTGAGAACACTAATCTGATACAGCAAGCACTCTCCTCTAACTAGAAAACAGATCTGATTTGAGGGTTAAGCTTGTCAGTGGTTTTAACAAACAGCAAATACTTCTTCCAGGCAAAGGTAGTAATTCTTTCACAGACTCTCCCAAGATTTTACTGCTTGGGTTCAAAGCTGCTCAGGGAAGGAAGACATACACTCTGATATTGCTTTACATAATGTTGCCTGAAGAAAAGCTCTTTAGTTTCAGGCTTTCATTTTCCTTTGGGTGCAAGTTTGTCATACATTTTCATGCATGCTGCTCCACCTTCAGTTTATGACACTGGGGAGATGTGGTGGCCACTGTTGCCTCTTCATAGATTTTATAGATTTCATAGATTTCATAGATTT